ACTACTACTACTACTACTACTACTACTACTACTACTACTACTACTACATCAAAACTGTGAACGGACACCAGCCCAAACGAGAGCACCACAACAAAGACCGGAGGGCCTTCCATTTGTTCGAGGAACTACTCCGATGTCCTTGAGCCTGCATGTACTTGCAAATCCCAAACAACTGGCTGTGGATTGACAAAGAGCACACAGAACAGAAGATGCAAACGTTGTCAGCTAGGGCCTTCAGAAGTCGTTGCATGGTCCCTTCCAATTCATCAGTCAGGGTGTCCTGCCAAAAGCTGACTCCTAAAAGGCTTCGAACACATCCAATTTGTCTTACATAGCTATATTATGTATATGTTTAAGTTAGAAAAATAACGTGCATGTGAGCCTGACCGCTGACAGGACTGCTGCGCTTTGTTTGCTTCACTTTTCTCGCACATTTGGCGTTCAATTGTGCTTTGAAAACAATCGTAGAAAAACGTAGTGTTAAAGCCCTCAACTCTCTTCACGTAGAGTTGGATGCTAGGAGGATCAAAGGTCTAGATCCAACCTGCACTCTCTTCAGGTCAGACTTCAAGGTGGGTGTAGTTGGCTGTATATCGTGAAGCTCTACGCCAACTTCCCATTCTCATAGTTCACTGTGGGGGTCGTTCTCTTTTGGACACCTCACAAAAATACAATTACACATTTCAGCAAAAAGCGAAGCGCCTTTAAGTAAGTTTTATATCCAGGGAAGGACAAAACTTCAAAAACATCAAATGACGGTAAGAACGGGAGGTTCCCCGAAGAGTTCAATTGGCTGTGCTCCGCTTGCAGAGTGTATGTTCGCAGGGCCACTGATGAGAAAGGATGCACACACATGTTTGAATGGTTATCTGAGGCACCAAGATGAGTGAATTTGAAATATGTTTGCTGGTTCTCAATGATGAGTTGTATGTGAAGCATGGATGCAAACTGCTTGTGATTCTGTTGTTATCATGCTTGGGCATGTGCGAAAGAAGCATCTCCATGTGCTCGAAACCATATGCTTCGCCATGAAAAAGTTAAAGTTAGTTGGTGCATTATATATATATATACTCTGCTTAATTAAAAAATAAAAGAAACACTAAAAACAAATTGAGGGTGTCCAAAATGACGTCCGCGGTGAGTCGCGTGGTTTGTCTTTTTCACAGGGACCGCAACACCTGTTTGAAACATTGGGATGGTGGACCGAGGCCGTTCACTTTTGAGCGAAAGGGGGCCAGTGCATCCAAAACACTTCCAGAATATGCCTTTTGTTGAGTTTATTAACTGCCAACAGGTTGCGATGTTCAATTGGATCAGAAGCAGAGGTAATCAACAAATTGGCTCGGCGTAATTGTTGATGACAATGTTCTTAAACCGATGCGATGACAATGTTATGAAACCAATGACAATGTTATGAATCATTGCTCCACCCTCCGACCCGGTCCCCCCCCACCCAATGACAATGTTATGAAACGGATGACAATGTTATGAAAGCGATGATCATGTGGTGAAACCAATGTGTGAAACCGATGAACATGTTATGGAATCGATGGACAAAGTATTATATAATCCCCAGGTCGCGAATGGAGCATCACATAACCGGGGACCTCCGTTGGGTCACATAATTGTCACAAGTCAATATTCCACAAACACAAACGAACCTTCTTAAGCCAGGCTATACTTGACATAATTTCTTTTGCGTGCTTGAGCCTTTGATTGCGTGCCAATGAATTCCTGTATGCGCATGCTTCCGCCTGGCATGGACTAATAACTTTATGGTGAGCGAAATCAACAAACAAAACTTCCACCCAGGCACATTCAGAACATGTTCACAAGTCCTGAACGGATTGGAGCTCGGCCAGTGCATTGACTACCTCAGAAATGACGCATGCTCCCTACAAAGTTGGATTTGGGACGCGTCCCTTTCATGATATTGCATTGTTGTCTTATATATATATATAATACTTACATGAATACATATATATATATATATTATATATGTAGATAGATAGATATTGTATATTATTATATCATAATATATATATATATATTATATATAAATAATCCTGCAGGGGACGGGACAGATTTGATCCTCTGGCTTAGGTACTCATTTTGTTGGCGCTCGAGCTGCTCGTCCACCACAATAATTCATGAACTAGAAGCACAGGGAGATCTCGTGCTAGGTGGAGAAGAATGGAGAGCCCGGTGGAAGATCGAGGCAAGTGCTTTGAAGGTCATAAATAGCACTTATAAGACTTACAACTCCTTTTTTGGGACCTGTTTCTGCCCTGGTCTTGGAGACTTCAATTTAGCTTCTTGCTGATTGCGGATTGATGTAAGGCTTTCAAGGGCAAACTAGCTGCTGCAACACTTGCCTTCGATTTGCTTCTGTTTCTTGGCGTTACAATTTACAGGACACATCTTGGCATTTGAGAATACAGAGAGTCAAGGCTAGCGGGCAGACCAAAACAGAGGTGAACATCTCTCAATATTCTGATGACTTTGTGGAATTCAGATGAACGGATCGCGGTACGACAGTTGAATGTTCTCTCTCCGGTTGAAACTTGAAACAGTGATTGACACTTCAGGCTTCCTGCAACACCTTCGGATGGTACGAAGACCACTATCCTGCTATCTGGGGAATTAAATTCCACCATCCTTCAAGCTTGTATGCGATTGGCTGGCAGCAATAAGATTGTGTACTGAAGACCAACGCAAGGCAGATGGAAAAAGAAAGAGACCATTTGAAGGCCAGAGGATGGAAGAATCTACCGAAGTGGGCAGGGCAAGCGCACACATAACTACGATTCTACGTATATGTGATTTTCTTTGGACGCTATGTAGAAAGCCAGGGAGCTAAGAACCTCAAATGCACTTCAAATCGAAGGTGTGGTTGTTTCTTTATGTTCTTGATTGCTTTCGCACTGTATGTTATATGCTGAAACTGATCCGCAGCATGAGTCAACTATGAGTCAAAGTCTTCAGCTTTGCCGAGGCACGATTCTTTTCATCTTTTTCTCGTCTGAATCTTCCGAATTTGCTCCTCATGGTTTCGTGCACCATGCAAGCTTTCCACCTGCAGTCAACTGTGGAATTCTGCATTGCTCCTGGAGGCTTCTTTGGCTCTCTGTCCCTGGCCAAACGGCACCAAACACATCCACTACAGACTGAATGCAAGTTGCCTTCCGAAACAATTCGTGCCTTGTGCGTGCAAAGAGTGCACACATGCTTTTCCAACAGCCTCACAGTTCTCCATGCCGAAAGAAGCGTCAGAATGCTGTGTCATAACAAAGCTGCATCAGCCGCCTATAGCCTAGTCTCAGCTGTCTCAGTTGTGCCAAACCACCACCAGGAACCAAATTGGGCGTATTGACATAGAGATGAAAATGAGAAGAAACATAGCAAGATGCAATGAAGTGCAGAAACGACACCCTATCCCATTATCAACTCTAGGCAGGCAGGCCCAGCTTTCGTAAGCATACAAGTCGACAAACAAACAAGCAGAAAAGCAAAAGGACATCCATCAGCAGTAAACGCACAATAGCTGTACACAAGGTCAGGGACTGGAAACCAGATTGAAGGGCGAGAGACGTCTGTGACAACCACAAAACCATGCTGCCGCAATAATAATTGTGAGAAGTGGGAAGATGTTGTCTCAAGTGACAAGTGGAGACAACACCCAATCTCAATTCAAGCTCATGATCATAAAGGACAGTCGAAGAACATGACAGGTCCTCGAAGTGAAGAAATACTTACAAAACCATCTCATGGCACGACAGGGGAGATGAACGGTCGAGTAGAATCATCTGGTACACAGCGCTCATGTCAGGCAAGGCGCAGTGCTGAGCGGAAAACTTAGAAAATAGAAACATGGAAGACTGATAAAGAATTGAAGCAAAAACAAGTGGCACCCTGTTGAGATCGAAAGGCAAAGGCAGGTACACTTGGGAAACTACGTCAATATTCTATGCAATTCTCAAGCTCATCATACATATACAGATACAAGCGACCAAGTGCAGATCAAATCGAAGCACAAACCGTGGAGATGAAGGAAGATGTGAAGACCAAAAAAGTTGTGGTACCAAAACGTACAGAACTGGCAACTGGCGTCTGCCAAGCACCTGCGCCGCATAGTTCACCAGGCAGATCCAACATTAATTGATATATGAGCTGCCAGCCCCTTTGGTGGAAAGTTGTCTCTGCCGAAGGCGCAGACTTTGCTCTTCTGTCAATACTTCAGATGCTGGATTGTGGTGTCGTTGACTGCAACCAAAATTTGTAGGCTCACCATGCTTGAAATGAATCGCCTCTACGAGTCCTTGGAATTAAAATCACATCGGCTTTATAAATTACACTCAAGGCTCAAGGATTTTAGTCTTGATGTAAGGATCTTGAAGTGACATGTGCCTTCAAGCAATGATGATTCCGCCATTGTTTCACTCAGCGTCCAAGCTTGAACCACGGAGGTCACTTTGTTGGGAATGCGCATTGCAGTGCTGCCGCGTCCCCTGGAAAAACGTCGTCCGGCCGCACTGCACACCTGCACCATGTCGTCCAGTCTCAGAGGTCTCCGGGGCAGTGCCGCGATGGTAATGGTCTCTTTGGGTCGAGGCTTTTGACCTCCGTTCGCTGGTTGACAGTCGAAGACGTCGACAGCTTTTGGTCGACTCCAGACGAGGAGTAAAAACTGCGGGCGACCACCGACCACCTACTCGGCACGAATTCGTTCAAAAGGCATGAAGATGAACCAGTCACTGGTCACTGACATTCACTGACAATGTTTGCCCAACAAATCTGGATTCGTGCGTCCGACTCGGTGTCTTGGTTCGGCACCCGCGAGGCCGGTGCTGAATCCGTGCGGATCATTCTTGAATCCGTGCAGTGAATTGGTGAATTCTCAGGTGGTTCAATGACCTCACCAACCAACACCCCTACATCGCAACAGTGCAGCCTTCATTTGCACAACAAATGACTTTACCTTTGACGATTGAACCACGGTGTGGCACTCGGCGAGCGCATCAGCTCACCTCCAGGGCAAGAGGCTCTCTGAAAAACCTGGAACCTTATTTTAGCCCGCTCCGCCCCCGTCCCTACTAAATTAAGTAGAGACCTGTCTACTTAATTAAGTCAGCTACTACCTACAAGTATGCTCCTACCTAGAACGTAGGATAGCTCACGCTATTCATTTGGCTCCTAGATTTTGAGGGAAAATTAGGGTAGAGACTGAAATCAGCTCCACCAAACATGTTCTTAGATCTCACGTTGCCTGACGTTGCTGCGCGAGCAAGGGACAGTGTCGAAGGCATGACATGCCCTTGTTCATGTTAAAACATGTTAAAGGATCAGAAAGGCAAGTGCCCGCAAAGACACAGCAGTGGCACAGTGTATTTGATTCCGCAGCCTGATGGCCTTCAGCAAACTTCTCCACATAGTCCCAGCAGGTGTTTTCGACAAGGTCACCTTGAAAAATCATAGGGTGCTAGGGGGGGGCAAAAGGGGGACAGCAAAGAGAAAAAAATCGATGCTGTCTCAGAGGATGAGAGGTAAAGGATGCTGTGAACAGAAGAAGGGTATTGAAAACCAATAGGGCTTATAAAGGCTTATTGCATGTTAAGAGGCAGCACTATCTCTTACTAGTTCTTATTAGGGCCTATTTCAACATCAAACAAGAAGAATATCAAATAATAAGCCTTATTGAGCCTTATTGGATTGATCACAGTTTTGAAAGGAATTGAAGTAGCCTGAGCCCTATTTTCTTTCAATAGACATCGAATGCTCTCAAATCAGAAAGGTTTCTTCTCAAATCTTGCTATATATATATATGTGTGTGTGTGTGTGTTGCTCCACGGTTTTACCAAAAGCGTTGGCTCTGACAGACTTAAGACATCAAACATGGGAACAATCACATTCTCAAACCAACTTTAACCCCACAATGACCTGTAGCATCACCAGTCAGCAAGACTAAGCAGGGGTTTGATTAGATGTGCTTCAGCCAACAGAGTAAACTATGAAAGAAAATACATATGGAAAAAGGAACAGCGAGAGGAAAAAGTCAAAGCCAGTCGGAGATCAAACGTCCAGAACCAACTCGCCTGCAGCTCCATGCGGTCTCGATCAAACGTCCAGAAAGAGTTCTCCGGGTCAACCTTGCCAGTTGGATGAACATGGATGTTTTGCACATGGATTCATAGGAAGCTACTGAGGGCTCCTGGCATCGCTACTAGGAGCAAGGACGCTACTAAGGGCTCCTGGCCATACTACTAGGAGCAAGGACGCTACTAGGGGCTCCTGGCATCGCTACTAGGAG